ATCCGTCTTTGTACGACTGTCGCGTGTTTACGAGCGGTTGTGTCAGCTGTGTGTCAAGAGAACACAGGTACCGTGTATGTGGTAGCGAAGCGTGCAGCGGCAATCCTTCTGACAACGTGAACGGCTTGGCTTGGCTTGGCTCGCGGCTCGGCTCCGCTCGGTTCGACTCAGCGTAACAGCACAGCACACGAGACCTGTGTCGAGGAGGTTAGGACGAAGCGTGATCGGTGTGTGCCGGTGTGGTGGTGGGCTGCGTGCGTTTCCCCGAGGAGAGCGCGCGCCACGAACAGAAACGTGTGGCCTCCTCTTTGCCTAGTGCCTGCTGCGTGCCAGCCCGCTCGCTCTCCCGCTCTTCTGGTGAATTCGTATGGTGAATTATTGATCCACGGCGGCGTGTGCGTGCGGAAAAACCGCGCTGCTAAAAGAGAAATTCTCCAAGGAGAGGAAAAAAAACGTCGCCCCCGTCGGGACCGTCGGAAAAGGAGACCGCCGGAACCGATACACGGCACGGTCATCGGGCTCTGCGCGTACCGGGCTTTCGTTGTTTTCAAAACTGTGCGCGCGCGAACACATGCTCCGCCGCGGACTACCATAATACCACGAATATACGTTCTCGAGCACTGAAGGTGAAGCGCAGTGGTAGCGGCGGCGACGGTGGCGAGACGGATTTTCTTTCCCCTAGGCGGGACCGAAACGAAGTGTGTTTCGCATGATTCCATCGCTCCCGGCGTAACGTGCGTCCACGTACGTCGTGTCTCTTCCTCCCCTTTCCTGTCATTCTCGCTTGCACGTTCGTTCGTTCGTTCGTTCGTTGCTGGTTCGTCCGTCTATCCGTCCATTCGTTCATTCGCTCGCTGGTTCTCTTTCTATCCCTTTCCCCTTTTATCTGTCTCTCCCTGTCACGCTCGCCTCCCTCTCGCTCTGTTCCCCGCTCTTTTACCGCTCGCGCGTGTTATATGTGTGTGCGTGAGTTTTTCTCCGTCTCACTCTGACTGCGTTGCCGTCGTCGGCCGCGTGTGCGTCAACTAAACGAAACGCGGGAAAAGCTGCTCCGGCGCGAAATACACGCTCCGCGGGTAATGTATGCGGTGCTCGGCGTGATACGCGGTGCGTTTTCGGTCCGCGGCCAGTGAGTGCCACCATCCTTTACCCCCCCGTCGTCCTCCTCCAGTACGCCACCCAGAGTACGGAGATACGAGAAAAACGGATTATTTCGAAGGCTGTCGAGGGAAGCCTCCGGCCCGGGAGAAGTGTTGTCGTCGTCGTTAAGACGACGGCGACGACGACGACCACGATCTCGCGACAACGACGACCACGCTACACCTCACGATAATACGAGTTCGAGGAACTTAAAAAAATAAAGCATAGAGGCGACCGCTGGTACAGCTTTGCCGCGCGCTCTCGTGTTCTCGATTATCCAGGACGAGAGAGCCCTACCTCCGCCACCGCGACTTGGATGGATACTGTGCATTATTTCTGGAGTGAGTTTCTCTTTTAAATCGTGTGCCTCTGTGCGCGGATGTCGTACACTTGCCTCCTTGCATGTGCCTTACCTATGCGCGATTGTGGAACATGTACATGTGCATATTTGTGCGCGACGATAGTGCGGCCGTGCAACATGCAGCCAGACACACGGGCTTTTTTCTCTCCTTCGTTTCCCTTGCGACCGGCCGGCCGCCGTCG